GTTTGTGTGACACCAAATGACACTTTGGGAGCCTTGATGTACAAATAAAATGCCGGTCAGGTGTGGTGTCGGAGAATGAATAGAAGCAGTGTGATAATACAAAAAACTAGCAGAATAAGGCTGAGATAGGCCAATAACTCAGGTCCAACGGCAGGATTTTTACTCTGTTGTAGTGGCAGCATGTACGACTACTCGATTTACCAACATTTCACTTCAATTTTTACCTGATCAGCATGATCTGCATGTTACAATGGGGCTCAGACGGACGTCACTTTTGTCTAGGGATCGAACTCACACTATAAGTTTTGTAGTGGGAGCAGCTTGCAATCAGCTCCTAAAATAGGTAGAAGTATCTCAAATTTACTTCATCATTGTTCAAGCTTTAGTGCACAGCAATATGCTACTCGCAATTGCATTTGTTATTTTCCACCCACGAATTACATCCAATATACAGCAAGACGCAAGCCAACTCAGTTACGACGACCAGAGGCTCAAGCAGGGACAGGAGCAGACACCATTTGACCATCGTTACTTTAGTTTGACACATTTGTAGTGAATAAAGCATTTCAGAAGTGCTTACGTTTAATTGAAATTCACTGCCTTTGATTAAATAGAAGCCCACTTAGCGAAGGAAATATGCGACATTAGCGGAAAATTGCTGACTAATTGTCCGTTTGTGATTACGAATTCGCGTTCGTGGGGTTATTGATAAGAGCTTACAAGTTGTCCGCCAGTGGTCGTGTGAAGAGAAGACAGAAGAAGCTCACTTGTTTTTAGATTAAAGTTTTTCATTCAATTTTATCAATGCATTCGGCAGCATGATTCATAAGATCTAGAATGTGAAGTAAAAGTGCGTTGTGCACACATTAATGAGGGCTTCCTTAAATCCTTTTAAATCAATTCGCATTTTTAAAAAACGATCACGGAATAATAGTTATGCCAAAATGAGCGCACCCATTTCATGCAAGATGGTGCATCACAGAAAGTGATTCCGAGGTGATGCCAAACGCGCTTGCTAGAAATTGCTATTGACTTCCAGCATCTCAACTAGTCTTCCGAGTCGTCGGCATTTTACCAGCACCAATAGCAGGTGAAACATTTCCCTCACCGGTTGCCAGCCTAATGGCGGGTGCGTATCAGCTGCGTATGAGTGAGGCAGCAACTGCAGAAGTGGTTCAGAAAGCAATAATTGTTAA